CATTAGCTTTTGTAGTGCCTTGACAGAGTTAGCTGACTGCCGCCTTGGCTGACCTGAAAAGACACAAGGGCAGCAAAACAGCAAAGCCACAGTGACTGTTGTTGTCTGTGGCTTATGTATCCTCCAAATACTCAGAGGCATATTTTATGGCCACAAGTGATGCTGTGTCCTCATTTTACTGCAGTGTCAGTGTCATTATTTTCACATGTGAGCCTTGTACCTCCAACTGGAATAGTGGCAGAGTCTGACCAAACTCTTGCAGTAGAGAGAAGTGAGTTTATATTTTTGTGTTGTCTTTTGTGTGCTCTGATCTTGCTGTCTGCATGGTGCTCTGTTTATCTGTCTATATGGCAGAGGGTATGCAGGCCGCACACAAGCACATCCTGCTGTGTCTACATTCTTAGATAGCAAAATTATAAATAGGGAGTGCATGTGCCAGAATTTGCTCTTTGCCTTGATATATCTTGTTGCACTACTGAGCCCTTTCTCAAAAGTTTTAAACACTGCAAAAGACAGATCTTGTGTCCTTGACTTTATTTTAATATTTCCAATACACCATCTCCAAAAAGACTAATCAGCATTTCAGAATTTATTTAGGTTTGAAGACTAAACCAATATTTGAAGAGTAAACACTGTTTACATGCTAACAGCCATGTGAGGCTGCATGTTTAGCTGAGTGCTTAACTTATGTATAATGTTTACCATGATCACAGTCTTAGATAATATTTGCTCATTAGCACTAAAAAGGTATTGCACAAATTTTGAGTAAGTAACATTTTTACTTCATGATGGCACTAAATGTAAAGTTAAAGGATCACCAACATCCTGGAAGTTTGTAGCCAAAATATCAGAATCAGAATCGGCTTTATTGGCCAGGTGTGTCGGACACACGAGGAATTTAACTCTGGTACATTGGCTTTCAATGTGCATGTACATATCCCCATGCAAGGGGCAAGTAATCAGTCATCCTGTAGACATCCTGTTGAGATATTTTAGTAGTGGACCAACCATCCAGAATCACGCAATGTACATGGCAAAAAAAATTCAGAATAATCTAGGATTCAAGTTAACACTGGCCACTGTAACACACCCTGAATATGAATACACGCAAGGCACCATAGTGGTTCTGAGGTGCTGATCTTCACTCATTACAAGTATCAGTCTTGGCCTCTTGATATACTGTGTGCACATCTTTATCTTCTTTATACATTTTCAGAAATGAAGATAGTGCTGATTAACATAAATTTGGAAGCAATTTGAATAAATCTCCCTGGCAACCAACAGGGTGCTGGTTTTATCCATATCTTACCTCTGCTGTGACTCCTTCCTCATTCATTATCATGAAGCAAAGCTCAACCAGTGGTAGTCCGTCGACTTATTATGACTTTCCAATCAAAATCACAGACAGCAATGTTCCCAGCTGCGGATAATGAAATTAAATGAATATGTAATTGAGTTTATTTTCTAATGAAAAGTGAAGAGAGAATGCCCAGAGACATGAACAACACGTAGATGAGTCATCCTCCTCGTCCTATAGTCGAGTTACTGCCAGGCGTTTGGCATTCAGTACCACAGGGGCCAGGGATACACACAGAAATGAAATGCATCAGATACTCTTCACTGTGATTTATACAGTTTCCTGCATGGTCACTCTGCAGTGATGATACTCTGCTTTATACTGACCGCTGTGTGAATGAAGTGTGTATTGGAAATTGTATGGAAATATGTGAATTACCTTAACATTACTTTATTGTTTCATTTATCATAATATCAGGGCTGATATTTGTTTTGTTGCATTGTTATTTCATAAAGAGAGACAACTTGTTCTAATTTAGCTGGCATTTTATACATAATTTGTCATGTGACTCATATTTTGTATGTGACACCTATAATATGTTGTTTTCATGGGAAAACTCATGTCATATAGAGACAAGAAAAAGCTTCTAAAATTCTGGTGTGATGTGAGACTTTACCAGCTGTGACCATGTTGTGTTTGCCATTTTTAAAGATTGATAAGGATTAAAAATGTGCCTGCAACCCAGAAATATATCATATGTGGGAGTGACAACTAAAACAGTTGGTCTGAGAGTCCTACTTCCCAAGTGTGCCTCAGATCTGCAGGGAGGGACATGTCCTTCTGAGGACCTTGCTGGGCTTGATCAATATGTATACATATCCCCTCTGGTGTGAACTGAATGAGGTTCTGTACATGGTGGGAGCAAAAAATGGTCTGTGCACATAACTCATTAAGGATTATGTGTCATTTGCCCTTTAAGATGCACATGTATTTTATCAGTGCGCTCAGATGTCATAAACCTAATGCAAAAGGCCCATTAATTTGAGCACTGACAGGTGAGCCCAACATTTTTCTCTGATTTATCTACAGTGGTACGGGAAAAAATGAAAAGCGTATCCTCTTCCAGTACTGCATCAGTCATAATTCTCAAGTTGGCACCTTATTCACCACACATTTAATGGATACCGATTTTTATAATTTATCCCGTTCTTAACTTCAACTTTACTCGAATTAAATTTCAGGTACAGTGCTTTGATTACATCCTTGCTAAGTTCAGTCTGATTTCTGCAATATGGTAGGAATGAATACAAATGGGTTGGCTCAGAGAGAGAACAAAGGGGCAGCAAGAGGAGAGACACGGGGAGAGATAACAAATTAAAAGAAAGTCAGACTGAGAGAGAGAAAAAAAGAGGAAAGACAAAGAAGAGATGATGAACAAAAAGTTGAAAGAGTGGAACAAGAGCAGCCAACCAGTCTGAATGAGCCCCTCTTGACCTTCTTGGTCTGAGGAATTGTGGTGGAACACACACCAGTCTTTGAAGCCAGCCTTGCAGACCATGCTTGAATAGTCCAGGCTGACTGTTGGCACCGAACGTGTGGTGAGGAAAATCAAGTAGCTTCACAGGAGCGTCTTTGGGATTGGCTGAGGTTGTCAAGCTCCTGCTGGAGTGGGGATTTCGATGTTCCCAGATTCTCACAGAGCCCGCGGCCTGTCACTCTCCTGCCAAAAGTAGAACTCATTTGTGGAATATGGTGCGCCTTCCTATCATAACTGAGTTGGATGCGGGTCTCAGCAAGAGTGTAGGATCAAAGCCTGCGCACAGGACACAAGCATTGCTCAGTGTCACCCAGTGATAGCCCTCATTTCTCCTGCCAGACTGGATTCTTCTCATATTTCACAGGCAAACTCTGGGCCTCAGTCATCTCTTGCACTGCTTCATATGAAATAATGACCTGTCCAAGACTGAAGGCTGAGCGCACCTTCGCCCTGAGCTACACGGCCTGTTTAGATAGCATGAATGATAAAACAATGATCTGACCATTAAGAGTAGTGGAAAGTCTATTTATTCATTTACATGTTATATTTGCTATATATGCATATCTAATTTACTACGGCTCAGAAGAAGAAATCTCTCTATTTTACTCCTCTACATGCATTTGACAACAATAGTTACTAGTTACTTTAAACCTGCAATAACTATCAGACACAACTCTGAAACTAAACTCCTAATTTATTATTAACATTATCTTTCATTGAAGTGGTGGCTCTGGCTACCTGCCAAATATAAGTCACTCTCTTTAAGCTCAGTTTTTGGTGCCAACTCATGAGGGCAACATCTGGCTCTGTAGCAGCTTTTCTACAAAAGATCATCTAGGTCTTTGTTGGATTTTTTTTTTAAAAAGTACACTCAGTACAAAGCCTGTAAAAGAAGGGTTGGCCAGGAGTATGTCAGTAAAGGTGCAAAGCATTAAACTAATTAGAGTGGATTTTGTTGATCCTTAACAGCGTGCAATATGTTTTTTTGCACACCTGTGTAAAAATCCCACCAGCTGTCTCTCACGTACCTCTTTTAAACAACTTTCCTGGTCTGAAATAAGCAGAGACCATGTGGTGCTGTGTTGATTACTGCTGACTACTGACAAGTTGTCAGGCTCTGCTGATCTAACACTTTGAGGTTCTTATATACCTCCGTGACTCAGTGAGGGTTTGCCTGCAATTTATTTCACATCGAATTTCTAAATACAAAATATTTCTTTTTTTGTTTCTCTCTGTCAACCCACATAAAAATATTTTCCACACCAAGATAAATATATCAGTGATGATGTCTTAAATTGCTACCATTAGTTTCAGAGCTGTAGTGTGGTTTCAGCTCCGTTACTGCTGCTGTTTATATTGTTGTGTTGAAAGATTATGAGTGGATGTGACATGTGCTGCCTGAAGGTCAAGACTCCAAGGGCAGACAGCTTTCAACTGACTCTGTTAACTAGATTGAGGTTGTTTGCTACAAGTTTTTCTTCAGAACAGCCTGGCCCCTGGGTATGACAAGTGTCACATATGTCAAGCCTCTGTCAGTGGAGGTAACAGAGGATTGCTGCTCTGGAGGATTATTATACAGGCTGAAAGACAGATCATTCAGGTTGTGTCTTGGAGGTTTAACAGTGTTGCACAGGGTTTGTCAGCTAGATTTGACAGTCTTGGAGTGTATTTGCTGTGCAGCTGTAACACTGTATCCCTGCATTTGTTATTGTTTTAAGATTTGTATTTAAGACATGTCTGTCAAGTGTTTGTATACGGTACTTTAAATGTCCACCAAGCCTTAGTTTGAGTTTAGCAGGAGAACAGCACCATCTAGTGTTTCCTGTATAATCACTGCAACTCAAACCACTGTGTCCTCATCCACACTCTGATAGTGTAACAGAGAAATTTGTTTGCTTTAGCTTGTGGGTTAAGTAATGATGTCAAAGCAGACCATTAAATGACTTATTTTCTGAGTAAAAGATGAAACCTCTTCAAATATGCAATACATTCTATTGTAAAAAGATCTGTTTATCATTTTATCAAGTAAACATCTCTATGTTCCAAGAAAAAAACTATAGGTTATGATGAGCTCAGTTATCTGACTGACTCAGTGTACCTGTTTCCTGACACATCAGATTTAATGTATTATGTTTGCTTGGTTCAGACAAACAGCAAGACAAGAGATAAGACCGCAATCATTTATTTGCATAAGAATATATTATGTAACTTAGAGGTGATACTGCCTTTGACAAAGAAATATTTGCATGTTCACAAGAGCATTAATCAGAAAGTTTAAACAATGTACAGATACTGTAAATACAAACTCAACCAGCCTTAGCTGGCATCAGGCGTCCTCCCAACATCTGTTATTCATTTGGTATAAAGATCAAAAACTTATGTTCTGTTTCAGCATTTAACTTCTTTGGAGATTACAGTTCTCAAAGTATTTCTTTCATAGCATCACAAATTAAACATTTATTTAAAACAAAGCTGCTACATATAATAAGCTGTATCGGGAAATAAAACTACTTGAACCTTCAACAATTTCACAATTTTCATGCAATTATGACATGTTTGCAAAATGTTTCAAGACCTGGAATCCAAAACTTCATATGCAATACCTTTCAAGGCTTTTTAAGTACTGTATATGTAGAAACTTCTCGCTTGGGATAAAATATACCCAGACTGGTTGACCTTCTATGTAACAAGACTAGAGTGACAAGACTTATGTTAGCAGACAGTAGAATGACGACAGTCTATTAGAACTGTAAACTACTATATAATCAGAGCTGTAGACCAGATTTCACTTCAGCTAGTTGTGTCTTTCAGTACGTTTTCAACTTTTAGAAGAAAGTCTGATTTAATTGTGGGCCTCTATTGTACTGTACATTGCATAAAACTGCACAAAGCCACTTGTCCTTTTTGAAAACTAAAAACTATTTACATTGCTTGTTAACCAAAAAAAAAATAAAAAATTAAAATATAGTTGGATTAATGAGGTGTAAAAACAAATTTAGAACATTTGAAATAAAGCACTGATGCTTTCCACCCATATTCAAGCTCATAGAACTTTTTTCTTTACAGCACTAGTTCTGTACAGAAGTGTCAGTATATCCTCATAGAAGCACACAGTCTCTGTATACTGTACTCCTACAGTAACGCCCTTCAAAGAACCATCTTTGGAAAACATAAAATATTTAGTGATTTTTTTTTTGACAGGCTTCAGTTGATGTGGATTATCAGTTTGTGGGGCATCTGTGTATTACTGAATGGTTGAATTGTAGTTGTTTAGAAGGACATGATGGCTCTCTTGATGATATCGATACATTCATTCAGCTCCTGTTCCTTGATGGTGAGGGGAGGGGCCAAGCGGATGATGTCACCATGAGTGGGCTTGGCCAGCAATCCACTGTCACGAAGACGTAAGCACACCTTCCAGGCATCATAGTCTGGGGAGGAGACGGGGTTATTGAGTATAGATCAGATTTCATGACTGCAAGGTGCAAATACTGCATGCTTTACACTTCATTTGCTTTATAAAGAATCTTATCTTACATGTAGAAGAGGCAGGAATATTCTGCCTCCATCATAAATTTAAGTCTTGATGCTATTAATGTCAGTTCATAGACATGGCCATCTGGACTTACTGACTTAACTGTCAGAAATCATTTAAAGACTTCAAATTAACATGAGCTTGGATTTATTTTGTTCTCAGAGGAATGCAGGAAAAGCATCTACAAGATCGGAGCTCAGTAACTGAGATATTTACCTTAGCTATTAAACTGTGCTTACTGTCAGGGCTGCTGTTTTCAAAACCCAAATAGTGTTGTACCTTTGGTCTCTCTGATGACCACTGCATTGAGAAGGCCTTTTCCTCTGACTGTTGTCACAATGTCTTTGGGCAGTTTTCTCAGCTCAGCCCGTAGCAGCTCTCCCATCCTTTGAGCATTTTCTGCAAGCTTCTCCTCTTCTAACACCTGCAAATCAGCACAGAGTGATTTTTTTTTTGTTATTGCATCAGCCTACTCCTAATGTTGTCCGACTGTAATCAATCAAATCAAAGGCTTAAACTAGAAAAAGTGACCTCAAGTGCAGCCATGGCAACCTGACAGGCCAAGGGGTTTCCTCCAAATGTAGAGCCGTGCTCCCCAGGCTTGATGGTCAGCATTATCTCGTCATCACACAGCACGGCAGATACCTGAGGGGCACAAAAAGCAAAAGGTAAAAGTTACACAACTGTGGCCTACACTCACTGGACACTTTATTAGGAACACCTATAATGACAGTATGCACTTCAATGCAACACTTCCACCTTAACATCTATGTTTAAGATGCCCAAAATGTTTCAGTTTTTGGTGAAATTGTCAAATGTATACATTTAATTATAAGTTTATTATTGAGGTCATAGTTAAAGGTGTTATTGTACTGGAATGCATACAATTATACAGGTGTACCTAATAAAGTGGCCGGTGAGTGTATACTTCTGGTCCAACAAAATCAGATTCCAAAAGTCCAGAAGATCTTTTGACTCTTGAAAAGTGAATCTATAATGTGATAGAGGGTGCGACTGAACAATAACAGGTATACTCACAGGGTAAACCCCTCCTGAAAGAGCTTTGCCCAACATCAACACATCTGGGCGGACGTCCTCATGGTCCACAGCCAGCCGCCGGCCGGTCCTTCCCAGACCTGTCTGCACCTCATCAGCCATCCACAACACCTGGACAAAACACAGAGGACTTTAATAGTAAACTCAAAACCCCAGAAACGCCTTTGTTTTACTACAGCCATGTAGCCTGTAGATTCTTACATTTATACATCATGCATTCATCGCCTGTAGGCTGGATTACTGTAATGGTCTTTTGTCTGGTCTTCCCAGAAAGACTGTTAGATAAACTTCAGCTCATTCAAAATGCTGCTGTCAGAGTTTTAACAACCAGGATAACAGAGCACATTTCTCATGTTCTGAAATCCTTATACTGGCTACCGGTTACCTACAGAATTTATTTAAAAGTGCTAGTTTATAAATCACTCAGTGATATAGAGCCAAAATACATTTCTGATCTAATTGAAGCATACAAACTCAGCAGGGCTCTGAGATCCATAGGAAGCAGTTAGCTGGTAGATCCTCGGGTCAGAACCAAGCAGGATGAAGCTGCTTTTAGCTATTATACTACACATTGATGGAACCAAATTCCTGATGACCTTCAATGTGCCCTAACTCTAGACACTTTCAAGTTCCAACTGAAAACTCTGCTGGTTTCCTTGTCTGACTGGTTTCTGTGCTGCACTTTCTGCACTGTAACTGCTAGATATCTGTTTCACATTCACATAAGATAAAGCTTGATTATTTGTAAAGTGTAGTAGTGTTACCACAATGCACATTATTGTTACAAGATTTAATACCTGAGAGTTTTAAATAGTGTAGTGTCAATCTACCAATAGTATACGTTATTATTTGTGCACAGCCTTTAATACCGTACCCAAATGTTTGCTAGCAATTTGATGTCAACATTCATGTTCTCATACCCATAAAATGGCATGGAACCATGCTTGAGGTACAGTACAAAAACTGAAGCAGTAGGTTAGAGGACCTAAATATACTCGTTTATATTATCAAAAATAAACATGAATGACATTTCATTCAAGCTCCTCAGTGTGTTTGTCAAGGCTTACACTCACTATTCTTAGACTCATACCTGAACGGAGGCTCCAAGGACAGAGGATGTTGTTCGCTGAACACATTATTAGCCTCTTGAGGCAAATTTGTGATTGTGATATTAAGCTATAGAAATAACACAGTGTTTACTTACATTGTGTTTGGTACACAGTTCTCTGACTTTGGTGAGGTAGCCCTGGTCGGGGACCACCACCCCAGCCTCCCCTTGAATGGGCTCCACCATGAAGGCTGCTACATTTGGGTCTTGAAGTGCTTTCTGGATAAAAGCAGAAAAAAGGAGGCTGTGTGTAATATAACCATGTCATTGTATACTGTACATGCTGCTTCAATCAGTCATTAGGGTCTTACACAGCAACAAAGATGCCAAAATAACCCTATCAATAGTAGCATGCAACTTCAGTCATTTGACCTTTATGTTTACATAGACAATGAGGGTGTCAAGTCTTAGAGGATCTTATCATAGTGACATTATTGTTGGAATAAGATCAATCTCCGATTACAATTGTAGCACTAGGTTTTTAAGACGACTGCCTGAAGCCAGACAATTAATATTTTTCTCTGTTCTCCAGGTTTGTCCTGCCAAGAAAAAGACAGTGAGTGCAACGACCTTGGCAGCAGACTTTGTGGCCCGGCTTGTTCTTTCTACTGGCAGAACACCACAGAATGCAAGTATGATAAAACATTTGCAGCCTCTAACTTCAGTTAACCATGTACCAAAGTAGTTAACCATCTAACTTGCAAACGAGGCAACTTATACATTTTAATGCATGTAAATACACTGTCATACAAAGAACCCAAAGTCTGATATGCAGTGACTGAAACATCATTTTACAAGGCACGAAGACTGCTGGGTTGGACATATGTGAATAAAGCTTTCCATACAGCTCAGAAATATCAGTCCATGGCAGACGAACTGTGGGTGTTGACGCTAAACTCGAAACCAATACCTCCAGTGCAGGGATGTCATTGTATGGGATAAGTTCAAACCCTGGCATGTAGGGACCGAAACCTTCATAACTACTGGGGTCAGTGGAGCTGGAGATGGCTGCCAGGGTGCGGCCCCAGAAGTTTCCATCTAATGAACAACAGCGAATGAGATGGCATCTTTATTAGATTGGTTTGATTCCTATGTTAACAACAAGTTATGGAAATGTACTGATGAAGAATTATTTTCTAACAGCTTGAGAGCCATAAAAGAATAATCCACTAAAGCTACAGAAGAGTTTATTGCCAAATGCCTTAAAGGATGTTGGGTGAAATGACAAACGGGACAAATTCCAAAGCTGTGGTAGTGTCTTTTGCAACATAACATGGTGACTTACTTGCAAAAATGATTTTAGCCTTGTTTTTGGGAACCCCCTTTACATTGTAAGCCCACTTGCGGGCAAGTTTGCAGGAAGTCTCACCAGCTTCAACTCCTAAATATTACAAAAGAAAACAAGTTTCAACAAATATATTCATGAAACCTTCTCAGCATGTTCCATTCCATTCCTTCTAGATGTCCTTACCTGTATTCATGGGTAAGACTTTGTCATAGCCAAATATGCTGGTGATGTACTCCTCATAGGCTCCCAGCACATCATTGTAGAATGCTCGGGAGGTCAGGGTGAGTTTGGAGACCTGGGCCTTGAGTGCAGCTATGATCTTTGGGTGACAGTGTCCCTGGTTTACTGCACTGTAAGCACTCAGGAAGTCATAATATCGGCTACCCTCCACATCCCACACAAAGATGCCTGAAGTAAATAAAGCAAGTTCTTTGGCAGTGCTGGTGATGATTCATAAGTGATCTGTAGCACTTTTAAGAAAATGCCCACAAATGACAGTGACACTGAACTCACCCTCCCCTCTCTCCAAGGCTACAGGCAGCGGGTGATAGTTATGTGCCCCATACTTGTCCTCACGGGCGTAGATTTCTTTTGAGGTAAGCAGGCATTCAGTCCTCGGTGTGGTGGCGGCAGTGGAGGCAGGGCATATGCCAGAGTGGACGCTGCGATAGAGAACAGGGGCAGCACGGTTCAGGCTGCGGCCAAGTTGGAAGATCATTCCCTTCATGGTCATATGTTGCTATGTCAAGCACAAAAAAAAGATACTTCAGGTGGTTTATATTTGTTCTTAGTAGCAAGGGATGATTTAAATAGCTGTCACCTGTGGTTATTAAGTTATGAATACAGAGAGCCTGTCTAAACAACACATTCATATATGTATTCAAAAGGTTCACAGCTGTGGGCACTAAAGGTTTTCTATATTGTTCTGTGGAGGAGCTTGACATCCAAATGTGTTAATCCAGTTTCTATGTCAAAAGAAGTGCCTCATGAAAAAGTCACTAAAGATCGGGCCAAATAAGTTAATAAACTGCTAAGTGAGAGTCCATGGGGCACATGGGCTTTACCGGTCTGCTGAACAAGGAACCACCACTCTCACATTCAACACGACAGAGGAATAAACAATTTGCTAAGTGTGGATTACCAAAAGATAATCCCACAGCACTGTGGCACTGCAGCTGTGAGGCTTCATACTTTTCTATTTGGTCTCAAAGTGGCCTCATTTTAAATTTCCCTTTACTCTAACATGCACTAGTTTTCTTACTGACTATATAGAGAATTCACTGTTGCTTTTAAATTTTAAATATGCAGGCTGAGGAGGTGGCCTTCATTATGCAGAGGCAGTTGGTGGTTGTGAGGTGACTGTCTTTCAGCAGTGCTGTGAGTGTTTAGGTGGAAAGTTGAAGATCAGTCAGGTTAAAGTCTTTAGCCAAGCTGTAGTTTGACACCGAATATTAACTAGGGCCTAATGTATAAAATGGAGATGGGTGGAGCGGTTTTATTAGATCAGTCAGGTTAAAGTCTTTAGCCATGCTGTAGTTTGACACTGAATATTAACTAGGGCCTAATGTATATATAAAATGGAGATTGGTGGAGCGGTTTTATCTTCCAAGTGGATGGAGATAGCTCAGGGTTATCAGTAACTTTATCCAAACAGACAGCACACGGATACATGTGATAGCCAGTCACCATTAAACTTGTTTCTGAGAGGTGATAGGCTGAGAGGGAGCTGCCTACATGGCACACCCACCATTACAGTCAGGAGCTAAATACAGACCAAAACCTGGGGCTCCAAGCGGATGATAGTGCCACTGAGTGACACTTAATCCGGGACTGTATAACAGAACGACAGCCCTCAGTGCAATTCCTTGTAAATATATTTCGTATATAGCTGTCTGATAAACTGCATTTAAAACTATACACACACACACACACACTATAAGTGCTTTATTTTTATTTTCCTAATGCACACTTTTTCCTCTTTTGTTCTCAGCCTTATCTCGTTTGTCTCCCCGTTGCTCTACAGAACATTGCACATCCACATTGAGAGCCACTGTATCAGAGTCAAATTCTGATTCCAAGTAATGTTAACTCTGTTATTAGCTGATGTACTCTCTAACATAAGTTTAAAAAAACTCTAGCTAAAGGTAAAACAGTGCCAGTGACTGGTCAAATACGACATGCATGTCTTTACTCAGAGGGTGCGCGTTTAAGATCTATGCTAACCATGTTAGCATAGATCTTAACCACTAGTTTCGTTTCTTTTAGCTAGCTAGTGGCGCTAACTAACATTAGCACAACCCTGTTGCCAGGGGTTATTATTTTAACCATCACGCAATTATGGAACAAGCATTCTGGCACGAAGGAATGTCAAATTACCATAAGTATATGATGTGAATCGAGAAATGAAAAATCTGGTACCAGGAATGATGCCGAGTCCTGTCCGTCCTTTGAACATCAAGTTCCAGTAGCGACTGTGAGGCTGTGGTAAGTGCACACCGCGTAAAGGCTCGACGCGTGGCTACGTTAAGACACGCCTCCATATCGCAACTTGTCCCTACTATTGCGGTACCCAAGTCCTCTAAATCATTTTTATGAGCCCTCATTAAATAATCACAGTCGTTATTTAAACTTCCACCAGATGTCAGCCACACTTTGTTGTATTGTTCTTTCGTAACAACCTGTTATAATTAATATATAATTACAGTGAATGACCCAGACTGCATATAGCTAGGCTACCCTAAGATATCACGAACGATAATAAAACAACAATGAAGGAGGAAGAACTCGGGTCCATAAATAAAGGTATACTACACTGTAAAGGTCCTGTAGACCTATAATGTATATAAGCAGAATGTAGGCCTACCGAAAAGTATCCGAACTAAGTTACTTAGTAGGCTACATTATCGTTATGCATCCATTACCGTTTAACGCATTTAAAGTGGAGCTACTCGTTATCTATTTAAGGCCAGCTGCAACTACTTATTTTCACTAGGCCTATGGATTAATGCGATTATTTTCTTGATCAGTTCTTTAGTGTTTGCTTGTAAAACGCAAGAATATCATGAGAAAACCCGGATTACAGTTATTCAGAACTCCAAACCTCCAAATTGAGTTTGCTGTAATTTTAGGTAAGGAAAGGTATCAATTTCCCCAGTTTGTGATGCTGAAACTATTAAATGTTCGATATTAAAAGAATTAACCAGTTTCAAAACAATCACCGATGAATTTTTGATAGATAACTGAGTCAACAATAAATGTTAAATAGTTTAAGCTCCAATTGTATGTGCTGTTTTATATACCGTTCTATAAACTAGCCTATCAAATACATTTAGTGGAGTAAAAAGTGCAGTATTTCCCTATGAAGTGTAGGTAATAGAAGAGCCATGAAAGGAAGTGCCGATACCGCCGGCATGGGCTATAATTAACTACATTAGGCTGCGCATGCTCCACATTACGCGCGTGTGCAGTACGTCTCTAGTATCGTAATGGCTGACGCGAGCTGGATAGGTTGCGCAAAGAGTTTGAAAGGTGTCGTATTGGACATGTGTGGCGTTTTATATGACAGTGGAGAGGGCGACGGAGTTGTCATTCCTGGTTCAGTTGAAGCTGTGAAAAGGTGAGTGAACCTTTAACGAATCGTTTGAGACACTGCTGCAAGATTTTAGCTAGTTGCATACTAGACTGACAGCCTATGTGCATACACCCGGTTATTTAATATCATAGTAACTTGTGAATATAATCACTTCCTTAAAAGGCTCCTAAAGGGTCTGTGTGCATGTATAATTAAAGAAATTAATGTGCATTTGGTAAGTTAATAGCTCAGTGTCATGTATTGACACCAGATATAAAAGCTGGGGTGACCATGCTTTTACTGTTGCAGCCCCTAAATTGTGGAATACTTTACCTACAGTACAAAAAACAAACCTAGTTAAAATTTCTGTATAAATAAATTTGGTAACCTGTGTCCCATCCGATATCTGACCTCTGGACCTTTTCTAAAGGCTCAGAGCATCTGACCTGAAGCTACGATTCTGCACCAACGAGACCCAGGCCACCAGAGAGAAGTTTGTAGACAAGCTTCAAAGACTGGGCTTTGACATATCTGTTCCTGAGGTCTTTTCTCCTCCTCCTGCAGTTGTTGCTGTCCTTAAGGAAAGGAGTTTAAGGCCTCACCTGCTGGTGTATGATGGTAAGTTTTGTTTTTGTCATAACCTGAGGTAGGTACACATAAACTCTCATTTGGATATTCAGTTTCTTGTTTGCTCCCCTGCAGGAGTTCTCCCAGAGTTTGATTTTGTTGATAAGACCAACCCAAACTGTGTGGTCATAGGAGATGCAGCTGAAAATTTTTCTTACCAGAACATGAATGAGGCATTCAGGGTCCTTATAGGCCTGGAGAAGCCAGTGCTGTTCTCTCTGGGCCAAGGGTAGGAGAATTTTCTGTAAACTATTTTACTTAACCAAATCAGCAAAAGTTGGGACAGTATCTAAAATCAAAACTGAAAATAGTGATTGTAAATCATCTGTGTCCTCTATTACATTGAAAACACAGCAGCACATTATTTCATGCGTTACTGTTACAGCTGGTCTTGAGCCAGATGGCACGAGAGGAAGAGAGCTGGACCCAAACTGCAGAGTATGGTTAGGTGGAAACAGAGGTTTCATTATAAGATGACAAGTAACCAGTTACTATGACTCTGATCTGGTGGCGGTGAGGAGAGAGTCGATCCAGGTCAGTGCTGGCAGCAGAGTCAGTAGGCCCGTGTTCATGGATGGCTAAGTTATGACCATGGAGACCAAGAGTGGGGTCATCATCAGTTCACACCAGGACAATAGGAGTTTGTCCACATGTGAGGGTTCAGAGACGGGCAATGATGCTCACCGATACTGGACTGCAATGACTACAATGTTGTTAGGACATTGTTGGCCACCAAAGGACTGGAAACGCAACACATCAGTCACTAGGGGACATTGTTGACTGTCGAAAGACTGAAACACCACCCAGGGGGATAAATACCTCCTGCTCACCACCAGTTGGACAGAACTGATAAATCCTTTTGGATGAGAGGTCAAACATCTTCTACCTAAACCCAAGTCCATTTGATTTTTTTTCTTCAGCTTATTATGACCTGGATGACTGAATTTGCACGGACACAGCCAGGATGACATTGTGCAGGCGAGTTGCTGCTGGAGAAATAAGGCTGACTGCAGAGGCAGGGACTGGTTGTCACAGATGCAGTGTAGCAGGATAGCCAAAGGCAGGCTAGTTTCTCAACCAGGCGATGCTTGGAGGTAATGGTGCAGAAAGAAAAAATGAACAGGTTTACTTGAGAAGTAGTAGACAGTCAAAAAGCAGTGTCCATAGAGGACCCAGACTTCATGGGTGGCGACGCACAATGTCTGCCTGGGTCTTTTGTAACTGTTGAGTGTAATCAGCAGAAATCTCCCACTGCTGCAAGCCACACCTGAGTGTCGGTGTCTGTGGAGGTAGCAGGGGAGAGAAACAGAGAGAGAGGGGGAGAGGAGAGGCAGGGAGCGATGAGCAACCCTGACAGTTACCTCATCAGTTTTATCCTTGGTTCAAAATAAACACTAATTTCAATTCTGATCCCTGATATACAAGTCACTATTTTCAGTTTTAATATTTATATTACATACCATGCCAACGTTTTCTGATTTGGGGTTGTATAATACTCATTCCAGCTAATGAGCATGACATGAAATATAGAACACAATTACAGCGCTAGACAAACAATTCAGTGTTTTACTCTCGTTATAGGAAATACTACAAGGAGACAGATGGTTTGAAACTAGATGTGGGAGTTTACATGAAGGCTTTGGAGGTACAGAAGATGCATAATGTGCATTCATGTATTTTTTTTAAGAATTGATAACAGCAGTTTAGTCCAGGTGAACAGTAACTTATTAATGTAAAATTTTGGTTCCCTCTAGTATGCCTGTGATTTAAAGGCTGAAGTCATTGGAAAGCCATCCCCAGTGTTCTTCCAGAGTGTTCTCAATGACATGGGGCTTCAACCATATGAAGTATGTAACAGCAGGTGATACTACATGTATTGAAGTACAGTTACAGTATATTGCTTGGAAAGGTTTCTTCTGTGCTTTGGCTTAACTTTGGACTGGGAAGCAAGTAAGGGAACTCAGAAGTGCACTTAAAGATGTAGTGGTTGAGGTGGTCTCAGTTGGCTAGTTTATATAGTATATGCACTTCATGATGCCAGAAGCCGCTGTTGTTATTGCCCCTCTGTGTTAACCACAGATCTTATTTAAGGTGTCTAACCATTTTCTTTCCAGTTTAGTATCTGTATATTATATTGTCCATCTTGGAGACCACGGTCAAGGGAGGAGAGGGGAGTAGGGGCTGAAATGGATCAGACAGGTGTGGATAATCTTTAGGTAGGAAATGAGAACAACAGAGGAGATAACCACTGATGCCTCTGATGAAGTAAAGTCAGAATCTTTGAAATTATGCAACTACATTTGTATACTGGTATCAACAACTAATTAAGTTGCTAAACAAGTTCAGTCAGTGGGAGGTATATTGATCCTACAGTCTGGTCACAAGTCTCCTTGCAGGTACCACAAGGTGGAATGAGCTTTGTATGTCATGTTTTGACCTTTTACCTAATTTTGTTAAGGTTGTAGTCACCCCGGCATCAGTATCTTTAGTAGCGTACAGTATGTACTGTATCTCTTAATTTAAGCAAACACGCTAAAAAATGGTCTTAGACTGCAGATAAGTAGCTAATTTAATATCCTGTCATATTATATTTTACTTGTTGCATCACTCTGCATGAGAGCATCTTCAAAGTTCCTTAACCAAATTCTAATATTCTTCCTTTGTCCTCTCTCCTCGCTTGCAGGCGCTAATGATTGGGGATGACCTGGTGAATGACGTAGGGGGAGCTCAGCACTGTGGAATGAAAGGTGTACAAGTCAGGACTGGCAAATACAGGTCAGTGATGATCTTAGTAACGGGAGAAAAAAATTCAGGTTAAATAATAAACTCAGAAATGAAGGCTATTCAGGTAGTCGCCAGAAGAGGGAGCCCATACACCAGGAATGTGAACCGAAGTTTCCTCCATAGCACACTTCCTGAGGGCAAACCACCTCAATCCTTAGACTTCCCGATCTGTTTATTCTCTCTGAAGTTTAGTTTTTTACAAGTGTAATGTTACATAAAATGGGAAATACTCAAGTATGTGTTCTAAATTGTACTGAAGGTTGCAGAGCAGAACATAACAAAAAATGCACTTTGTTACATCTGTCCCTGATGCCAAGGGCAGTGGTTATAGACCACAGATTAGTCAGAAGAGGACCATGCCTGCTGACCTGCTTCACTGTTGTGAACTAGCTTGCAGGTCTCGGTCATATGACCAGAGAACGCTCAGTAACCTTCTTGAGCATCAGTCAGCTTTAGTCCTGTACTAAAGCGCAGTCACTCACTGTAAACCCTTCCTCTGTCTGTGCAGAATTATTTTCGGGTGTTTCGGTGTGTTTCCACTTCCCTTTGTTTTTGTGTACCTTGGCATGTGTGTACATATCTAGTCCATGGTGTGCATGTTCAGAAGTTTACAGTTTGCAATGATTCAGTCTGTGCAAGTATTCTAGAGTAGACTGAATTTTTTTAATTTTGATTCTCATCAGACTGAGCTTTGTGTGACTTCTTCTCTTATCAGCAGAAGTATTTATCAATCCCACTGTGCTTTTTTTTGAGGGCTGCATTGGAGGTGTTGAAGTTATTGAAAACGTTATCAGTTTTTTTGTGTCTTTCTCATATTGTATTCTTTATAAATAACAAAACAAGAAGAAAAACTGAGCCCTTTGCTCTTAGATACTGTTGAAGAATCTGTTGTGCTTCAGATTTATTGCTGTATTATCTGCTTTGAAAAACGGATGCGTTGTCTTTGTGTGTGAGCAGTAGCTAAAACACATTTGTGGATTTTTGCCAGTAACAGGAAACAACACATGTGCATAGATTAGAATTGATGGTTCTAAACTGAGTCATCTTTTACTCATTAAACATAAACACCTCATAATTTTCCAGAAGGATGACATTAACATTAATGTTTCTGTGGGGCTCTGGGTGAGACATGAGATTTAACATTGTTTAGCTAAACAGGCCCAGTGAACCCAGTCTTGCTGGGAGCAGCTATTATAAACCCTCAGTCAGATCTGTGAAAACACAGCTGTTTCCAAGTCAACCAGATGCTGCACAGGCCCCCAGTTCCCATCAGGCTTGGAGAAAAGACTGATTTAAATATCTCAGGCCTGGTGACAAGACAGCAAGGGAAAAAGATACAAATCACAGACAAATGTAATCATATCAGCTTATTTTAAAAAGCCTTATCCTTGACATACTGTTGCTTAGCACAACCCAAATTACTTTAAGCCTTTATTTAGTCAGTCAGATATGGAAACTTTCTCATTTTGCTTGTTTTCACTGTCTACTCTCTCACTGCCCTCACCTTGAACTCATTAAAACAGATGAATTGAATAAATCTTCACATGCTTTGTCAGTTCACCGACTTGTTGACTGTGTCTGTTAAAAACCTACTTTGCACAGTCAGATATTGCATAATGTGTGTTTTACTCTAATCTGTTTTTAATTGTTTGAATATTACAGCATTTTAGGATGTTCAGTTTAAGTCGGTGGATGAGGTTTTCACACGTACAGTGGTCCGTTGTGACTACTTTTTCATATGATGCACAATACTTTACATGAATTACAGACTGAACTCGACAGCAGCTGCAACAAAAAGTGAAATTACAGTGCCTACAAATAATGACTATACTGTAGGTGTAATATAGGGGTAATAGTAGTAAGGGAGTGTTCTGCTTTCATTCAGTTTTTCCTTGTTATTAAACAGTGACCAAAAGGTCTTTGGAAATTAGACTGGGAGCATGGAGATCTGTTGCATAGGAACAGTCTGTCACTCCTGTAATACTCCTTTCCAGAGTATTTTATACATTGTAAATCGGAAATGAGTACCAAAATGCTTAATTTGCTTATTTGCTTAATCCTCAGACTGATATTTCTTGATTTTATATTGTTGTTTTTAATAAAGCTGTGATATTTTCGGGAAACCGTCTTGGACTGCTGTTGGTTTTAAAGTGGATTGAAAGATGTTTATTAAAAATGCTCCACTTTGGGGCAGTGGAACAAGCTGTAAACACATATTTAATGACATGTTGAAGTTTATGCTGTCTTTTGAACATGTTGGCAAACTGTTTCTCTTCGAGACATGGAGCAACATAAGCATTGACACCGGGTCATCTTCTGGCCCCCGGCGATTGAAAGTCCAGCATTCACTCTTCTTTTAGCCCTGTTTTGTCTTATAGATACTGAAAGCTGTACTGTGTTCACCAGCCAGTTACTAAAATATGTGTTTGCAGTGTGTTATCAGTACAAAACTATCAAACAGTTTAGAGTGGTCCCCAGCCCTCCATAGCACAGTACTTCTCCATCTTCAGGTTTGTCTTTTTTTATTGTCATCTGCCGTGGTTTGTGGCCTTGGCTGGTCCTATGTTCTTTGTTTCTGTTCTCTTATCTTCAGTGAACTGGGTAGCTTGAATTTTCATTAAAGCAGGTTCACATCATGCACCATTTGTAAGCCAGTGTAATTGCTACTCTTAGCCAACAGAATTAACTTCTGAACCATTTGGTATGCTGTTTGCTGCTCTGTGCATCTGTGATAGTCAAAGAAGTTGAATTTTAGGCTTTCGAATTAAACATACAGCCTCAGTATTTGCATTTGTAACTCTGCTGAGGAGAATGTAGAGTAGTGATGTGTCTGATCAAAACACATTATTGAGAAAGGTATTTTGAATGAGTGCCAGTGGTTTAGAGGAAGGCCCTTACTGGATTCCCATTGGAATCTGGCACAGAACACACAGTAAACAGTTTCACACACCAGCAACCATCTTCAAAATGGTTTACATTGAAAGCCTCTCCCTGTGGCCACACTTGACTACTAATCTAAGTGTTTTCCAAGTAGGCCGAGCCAGATTAAACCTCTCCAGAGAGACCTAGTCCCTGAAGGTACAAACTATGAACCACTTTGTTGAAACTGCACCCTGGATCGTGCCCTTTCTGTCTCTAGTCGTCACTGAGGGACCCAACAGGAAGTGAGCATTGCAGGGAGGTCAGTAGCCATGTGATTATCTTGGAGATGAGTTTTTCTTGAGTATTTTTTCCTGTGCTATGGGTGGGTCACACTTGCACTGATATGCCAAGCTCTAGAAACATGCTAATGCTAGCATGTTGGTGGGCAAACATAGCATCAGACCAGTTTATTGTTGCATTCATGCCTGCTTGGCTGAATGGAAAAACAGAAACGCCTTACATTCTTTCTTACAGACTCTGGAGCTTTCACCCATTTGTTGCACCACATAAATGTAAGATAAGCCTATATTAGCAGCTTTATATTTTGTTACATATTTGTAGCTGTTTGCTAACAAGTGAAAAAAAGAGGCATGCAAATAGTATCTTTTTAATTAGTTGAATCAACTGTATGTGTGGTAATGTTGAAATCTCTTCAGATGTAACTGCCAGCGATTAAGTATTTACAGCCATTTTGCTACTGGGGTGTTGGCTCTTCTGTCGTCCACCGTACAGTAGACAACCCTGTTTGAGTTGGGTAACAACACGATCTTTCCTTCAATTTTACTTTTTTGCTTTGAGTGGTAGCAACTGTAGAATATATAGGAAAAAATGACATTACAGCCTCGGGGTCCTACTGGCATGACTACTGTGAGTGCAACGTGCAGCATAAAGTGCAATGATTAACACACACCTTATCAGTGAAGCTGTTATACTCATGCAAAAACACATGCACACATGCTGTATTGTGCACTGAATAACATCAGTTAGAACACACAGTTCTCACCAGATGGTCAGCACCAGCAGACCCAGGAAGGATCTAGAGTGAGGGTGAAAAGGCTGTGGCTTCATGTCGTAGTGAATTTCTCTGATGTGATTTATTAGGTCTTTTGTTTAGACACCGGGTAGTGGTGTTGGGTGGTACTGTACAGTTCGTTTGTCTCACAAAGGTCACTGAAAATGTTTTACAACACATTTCTTTCTGAGCATCTCCTTGCACCAATAAACTGTATAATTGTCCTCATCAGTCCAGGTCAGGTTCAAAGGAACTAGTCACCAGTCCCTCCCTCCCCATAGCCCAGACTGAGCTGAGTGAGGATATCCAAGCACATTTCCACTGGTCCCCCTATTGAAGTTATGCAAATAAAGTCATTATTGTGAACAGAAGGAAGGACTTCTTGAGCCAAAAGGTTGTAAGAGTAAAGTACACACAGGTGAAAGATCTTTGCAATCAGCTTAATATAATACCATGGTCAGGATTTTTGTAATAACTCAAGTACTAGCACAATATTGTGTCAAAAGGATATTTTCAAAAGTTTACTTCCGGAGTACCCAGCAGCTCATGCAGCAGAGACTTAACAACTCTCCAATCTGAATAAATACACAGGTTGGATGACTGACTGACTGAATGAAAAGCTTCAAGTGTGAACATTTCACTGTGTTTTGTGTGTGTCTACAGAAAGGTAATGCTCTCTCCCTCTGACACAAACAGCCTATCAGATCTCTGTTCTTGTGAACCAAACAGACGTTTGACTGAACACAGCACAGCAGTGTTAGGTTTATGGATGGGCTTTGTCCTTTGTAAGTCTGTGACACTGAACCTTGACATGTAGTCTGTGCATGGCTGTGGTTGCAGCTTAATCTCCTTTATAAGCTGTGCTCTGCCCCTGGGATGGCTCACAGGTACATACTGTATTTCAGCCTAGCTTTTCTTTCAGTCTGCTACTGGTGTCCTATAGCTTCAATGGCTGTGATTATGTACATGGTTTCAGGTGTTCGCCCGTCAGACAGGGAGGGATTGTTTGGAACATATGTGACTTACCATATTTCAAGGCCTTGTTTGTATGTATTAC